TGCTCTGAAGCAGTTTGTGGTGGTCCTTCCAGATTTATGATCCCCATATTAGTCTGTGAGAACAAATAGACACAAGGCCTCGCAGCAATCCATGACTAAAACATGAACTCCCTTTGCAGGACAAAAGTCTAACCACAAGACAGCGGCTCCTGACCTCAAATGTGAGGTTGCAGACCTTCGTAAAGCTGTTTAGTAACAGCAGCCAAAAAGTCAGTTATCTAGATATTTTCTACCAATTTCATAAGTCACAAGTAGATGTCTGTGTATGATCTTAATACAATCATCTTAATGGAGATAGAGAGCAATTTAAACCCAAACCATGTATTGCAAGGCAAAATGGGAAATAAGGCACGGTAACCACCCTCAGAAAACTTTCAATCTAAAGTGGTAAGATTATAAAATGTATTCAGAAGATAGTTCAAAATAAAAAGCCGATTCTAAACCAGGTACTGTATGAATTACTACCTTTACATCTCACATCCAGCCTGTATAGAACTAGGATGACTTTTCACAGATGATGAAACTGAGTTGAGAGTAATTTTCTGTCCAATATCATACAGATCATTAACACTGAAACCGGGATTTCAAATGATCCTGAAGTAGGTGATCTTTGCTTTATCACACGCTGCTGACATACTATTTCCTACATGTCAGGTCATTAAATAAGCTGCCAGATTTCTGCCTTGATAGCCCAAGGAGCTCTCATGGACCATGGGCATGGAGGGCCTTCTCCAGAACTCCACTAACTTCGTCCTCATAGGCCTCATCACCCATCCTGCCTTCCCCGGGCTTCTCTTTGCAATAGTCTTCTCCATCTTTGTGGTGGCCATAACAGCCAACGTGGTCATGATTCTGCTCATCCATGTGGACTCCCGCCTCCACACTCCCATGTACTTCTTGCTCAGCCAGCTCTCCATCATGGACACCATCTACATCTGTATCACGGTCCCCAAGATGCTCCAGGACCTCCTGTCCAAGGACAAGACCATTTCCTTCCCGGGCTGCGCACTTCAGATCTTCCTCTACCTGACCCTGATGGGAGGGGAATTCTTCCTGCTGGGTCTCATGGCCTATGACCGGTACGTGGCTGTGTGCGACCCTCTCCGGTACCCTCTCCTCATGAACCGCAGGCTCTGCTTATTCATGGTGCTCGGCTCCTGGGTGGGCGGCTCCTTGGATGGGTTCATGCTGACTCCTGTCACGATGAGTTTCCCCTTCTGTAGCTCCCGAGAGATCAATCACTTTTTCTGTGAGATCCCAGCCGTGCTGAGGTTGTCGTGCATAGACACGTCGCTCTACGAGACCCTGATGTATGCCTGCTGCGTGCTGATGCTGCTGCTCCCTCTGTCCGTCATCTCCGTGTCCTACACGCGCATCCTCCTGACTGTCCACCGGATGAACTCTGCTGAGGGCCGGCGCAAAGCCTTTGCTACGTGTTCCTCCCACGTCACGGTGGTGAGCATGTTCTACGGGGCGGCCTTCTACACCAACGTGCTGCCCCACTCCTACCACACCCCAGAGAAGGACAAAGTGGTGTCCGCCTTCTACACCATCCTCACCCCCATGCTCAACCCACTCATCTACAGCTTGAGGAATC